CTGCATCTCATTTCGAATCAATGCATGTGTCTTTCACCATCAGTCACATTCTATGCAAAGTACCTGTTTATGGGCCTCTCTGTCAACTAGACTTCAAGCTCCTCTCGATGCCCCGGGGCCTGGCACAGAGCTGGCAGGAGGTAGATGCTCAGGACACACCAGCCCAACTGGGCAGACTCTATCCTTCAAACTACACTTGCAGGTAGACTGGGTGGAGTCTTATCCCCATTATACTGAGAGGGGACCTCCCAGGTATCAGGGGATTTAAGTAAACATTGAAAACATGATTCCTGGTGTTATAGCTACTGAGATTCTGTATCTTCAGCACAATCATCATTCCTTTTTTTAAAAAAAAAAATTAATTAATTACTTTATTTATTTTGGGCTGTGTTGGGTCTTCATTTCTGTGCGAGGGCTTTCTCTAGTTGTGGCAAGCGGGGGCCACTCTTCATCGCGGTGCGCGGGCCTCTCACTGTTGGGGCCTCTCTTGTTGCAGAGCACAGGCTCCAGACGCGCAGGCTCAGTAGTTGTGGCTCACGGGCCCAGTTGCTCCGCGGCATGTGGGATCTTCCCAGACCAGGGCTCGAACCCGTGTCCTCTGCATTAGCAGGCAGATTCTCAACCACTGCGCCACCAGGGAAGCCCCACAATCATCATTCTGATATTGCCAATCGTAAAAGGACTGTCAAGCTAATCTCCACGCTGTCTAGATACCGGTGTCCGATCTTTTCTACGCTCTTCTGAACAGGCTTGAATTTGCCAGTGTCTCTTTGAAAAGACAGCCTGCAGGACTGAGCATAAAACTGCATGTGGCCTGACCCGGCAGCACGCGCTGGGATTATTGCTTCCCTCCTCACACTCTGCTGTTCTATTAATAGAGCCGAAGATTGCATTAGGGTTCTCAGCAGCCTCCTTGCGCTGTAGGTTTGCATCAAGCTTGCGATCAGCTAACCGCCCCCAGGTCTTCTTTATGAACGTCTTCTGTCAAGCCAGGCCTCCCCAACAGCCACTTGGGCAACTGAAT